ATGAGTGGGTGGGAGGGGACATGCTTCTTCCCATGAGGTCAAGGAGGATTATGGAGAAGTGAACATTGAGTATTGAGTAGAGATTTGATGGAGGAGAGGGGAAAAGCAAGAGAAATATCTGACAGTAGAATTGACCAGACAACCTGGGATCAATTCCCTTGAGACTAGAATTTTCCTTCTTCACTATCTCTCTCCCCACCCTTTGCCCTTCCCTCTAAATATTATAGGCTCACTGCTTCAGCTCAGCATTGGTGGTTACGCAAAACTGCTCCTGATCGCATTACACATGTGTGGCTTTAGTGTTTGCCAAAAGCTTTGAGGGCCTGAGATGTAGCACATTTATGGAGAGCTGCTGTTTGGTTTGGGTTTTGTTTTTTGGGTTTTTATGTTTAAACCACACTGACCCTGTTTTCTTTCAGAATGAGAATACAGTGCCAACATGTGTTAGAAATGGTTTAGATTTGTAAGAATGGATTTGTAATATATTTTCTCTCTGATAAACTCATTTGTGGCTGGAAAGACAGGTTGCATGATTCCTGTTTTACAGGTGAGAAAACTTAGGTACACAGAAAGAAGGTGATTTAGCCAAGATCACGCTACCAAAGGGTGTGGACTCCTGAGTTTGATGCACAATGTACTTGATTAAGGAGAAGAGCTGGACTCAGTAAAGATGCAGTTATTGTTGTTGTGTATCATCGCATCAGACCTGACCCATCGTTGACCCTCCAGTGGGTTTTCAGAGGCATTTCATCACATGGGAGGAGACTGCCCATCCTTCTCCCACAGAGCAACTGGTGGGTTTGAACTGTGTGCCCTCAGGGTTGCAGCGCAGCTTCTTGCCACTAGGCCAAAAACTATACTAGTACTGCTTTAGTCTCACTAACAGATCTTCTCTCTTCATCCCTGGGTTGGGTGTAGAATCCTTCTTTCACCTCTGATTAACGAATCATGCTGGTTGGTGTCGTCTTTAGCAATCCTTGTCACAGATGAGAAAAATGAGGCACAGAGAAATTACCCAGGATCATCTAGATAAGAATGGTACTTGGATGTGTTTGAAGTCAAAGCTTCATGCTCCCTCCAGCATGGGAACCACTTAGTCTGGGGACCATGTAGCTCCTATTTCAACTGTCTCCCTTGATGGTGTTGAGCTTGAAGTTATTGCTGTATACCATAGAGTCAGAACTGACTCATTGTTGACCCTCTGGCAGGTTTTCAGAGGCTTTAAATTGGGCAGGAGGAGATTGCCCATCTTTCTCCTGCAGAGCAGCTGGTGGATTCAAACTGCGTGCCTTAGGGTTTGCTGTGTAGCGTCTCAACCCTAGACTACCAGAGTTCCCTTGATGACAAGTCCTAATCAGGATCTGATGATGGTGGGGTGAGACTTAACACAGCTGAACCCCGCCCCCCACCCATGGGGTTAGCATATATAAAACCAGGGGCCTAAAGACCTGAGGAAGAAAGAGTCCAAGGAAAGTCCTGGGGGGAAGGAGGGAAATTCCCCTACTTAGAACCCCCCACTTCTACACAGATCTCATCAGCTCCAGGACCATTACACTCTGTTAGACAGTGCTACATTGCATTATTGCATTCTGCCTCAGCCTCTGAGGCAGCTGCTGTTAATACCCCCATTTTACAAAGGGAGAAACAGAGGCTTAAGGAAGCTAAATATCCTGATCTAGAAGTTCTACTGGTAAGTAGTGATGCTGGAATTTGATTCCCAATTTGTCTCATGCAATCTGTCAAGACTTGTTCCGCTGACCCAGTGCTTCCTCCTAAGGTGGGTGGGGGCTGACCCGGAGCTCTTCAGTGATTGCATCCCAGGGCCCTGCTGGTGATGAGGAGACTGCAGCTCCCCCTGTGTGACCCCGCTGCCTGGAACACACTCACAGCCCAGCTTGTTGCTGTTTTTCCTTCTCAGTGCCCTCGGTTCCCTCCTGCTGCTTGGATTCCAGCTTGTCTGCCCACAGCTCTCCACTGAACACAGAAAGGTAAGCCATGCCCGCTCAGAGGTTTTCCTGATCCACGTGAGGGAGGGGCTGGAATACTCTGGTCACCACCTAAGCCTCTTCCTGTGCGGAGGGGAGTCACCCACTGACCATAGATGGAAGCCCTAGTCACTGAAAGCTTACCAGTCCTCCCTCTCCTTGGTGATCCCCTCCTCCCTTTCTGCAATGCCCCTGAGTTAACGGTGAACCTAATGCTGGAGACGGTTGTGTCTGATCAGACTGCAACATTGGTTTTGCAGCTTGTACCTTGTTGAGAGAATCCAGTGAGGCAGTGAAAAAGAGGTCAAAGAAAAGACTGTGTACCAGAGTGTGGGCAGAGCTTAAAGAAACCACCAAGGCCTGGTGGAGTCTCAGCGAGAAGCGTAGTGTGGAAAGCTCCTTCGGGCCTTCAGGACAAGTGGAGGGGGCAGTTAGAGACAGCTGCAGGTAGAGAGAGCTGTGGCTGTACCTGAAGAACCAAAACCAAGCCAAACTCACTGCCACCGAGTCCTTTCTCACCCATAATGACCCCGCTGGATGGAGGAGAACTGCCTCCTAGTGTTGCCAAGGTCATAAGTCTTTTCTAGAAGCAGACTTCGTATCTTTCCCCAGTGGAGCTACTACTGGTAGGTCCAAACCAATGACCTTTGGATCACCAGCCTAATGCTTAATCCACTGCACTAATAGGGTGCTGTGGTTTGATAGAAGGACAAAGAGGCAGGGTGTGGAGGAATCTGAGACATCAACTCTGTCCTGCTACCCTCCTCACGCTGGTGAACCCAGCCAGACAAGACCTTGATTCAGTCAAGGGACAAAGGGCTGGATGGAAAAAGATTGATGGAGTGTCTGCTGGGATAAATGGCCAGCTTCCAGTCAGCCTCCTTCAGTCTCTGTGCTTCATAGTAAATGATGCCTAGTAAAGGGGAGTTCTGGTGGCCTAGTGGTAAGAATCTGTGCTGCGATCCCAAAGGCGTAAGGTTTGAATCCACCAGCTGCCCCGGGAGAAGGATGGGCAATCCCTCCTGTGTGATTAAACACAGGAAACCCACTGGAGAGTCAACTATGGGTCAATTCTGATTCAATGGCACCCTAAAACAATCCATTAAAAAAACCCCACACACATTAAAAAAGTAATCCAGCTGAGTGCTGGATTACTACTTCCCAAGAGAGAGGCAGTTTAACTCTGAAAATTCCAAGAAAGCTCTCAAGCTCCTTTCAGCTGCTTGTCTACATGTAATGAAATGTAGATTCCTTAGAGAGGAAGAATTTTCAACCATTTGTACCTATGAATCAATGAGTGTGGGATTTTTTCCCCTGAGAGTTTTTGATAAGGGAAATCCAGGTGAGAAGGGGATGTGTGCACAGGCCTGCTTAGATCTCACATTTTTAAAGGCGGATTCCTTGAGTTTGGATGACTCTCTTTAAGCCTGTGGATTATGTTCTGACTAATTTTTTATTTTGTGAAGAGGCTAACTGTTATTGTTCTGTATCCTTCACTAGGATGTTAGCTCTGTGAAAGTGAGTATCTTACCTGTATTGTTCTCCATAATGTTCCCAGCCCCCTGGATGGAGGCTGACAGGTTGTCAATGTTCAGTAAAATATTTGCTCAATGACTGACTGAATGGATTTGGAAAAATTGGCTACGTATCATTCCAGCAGATTCCCTTGGAAATTCACACAGCCTCATTCCAGTGTATCACACCCATTCATAATGTCAAGAATCAAAAAGGATGACTGACTGTTTTCATTATTGTGTTATGGTCTTTATTATAGTTTTGAGTTATTGAGACAGTTAATCCTAATAGAATTGGCCTGCCCGTATTCTTTTTGTAGTCTAACCGGACAGTTATTGTTAAATGCATCCCATACATGACAAGCTTATTTTGCTATTTCCGTTAATTGTTCAATGGTTAGCCTGAATGACATATGCATAAAATGCAAAAAGGAAAAAAAATAGCTATCACTCTTTCTTTTCTAGATTACTTGTTCTGAGGCTTTTTAAAAAAGCTTATGAGCTACTTCAGAATTCTGATTTTGAAGATTTTGTTAAAACTGGGATCCCACTTCGGCAGATGGTCTCTTTTTAAAAATACCAAAAGATATACAACAAAAAAGTAGTTCAAATAACTTCCAATATTTTTTGTAGACCCTTTTACTTGAAGGGCATACCTTTTAGAACAGAAATGAAGTAGAAGTATGTGCATTTTTGGCATTAAAGTAACTTTTGTTTACACTTGTTGTTACATGCTGTGGAGTCCAGTAAGACTCATCGAGACCCCAGGAACAACAGACCTGAACCTTGTGCTATCCTGTGACATCCTCACAATCTCTGACACACTTGAGCCCGTTGTTGCAATCTTTGTGTCAATCTGACAGTCTGACAGTTTTCCTCTCTTTCCCTTTTCCAAGCATGATGTCCCTCTCTAAGGAATAACCTTCTAACAACATGCCCAAAGTTTGAGAGATGAAGCTTTGTTATTTATTTTTAATATTTTTTCCGTTTTCCTAAAATAATTACTTGACATTATATTTAATTCATATACATTGTGTTTTATACAACCTTTCATATACTTTGTTTCATACAATCATGCATATACATTCCAATTTTACTTTTTAAATATTGGCTTGCTTACAAAGTTTATATACGTTGTGTTTCACAGCTTTGTTATTTTTGCCTCCAAGGAGCACTCTGACTATACCTTCTCTGAGATATGTTTGTTTGTTCTTTTGGAAGTCCATGGGATGTTCAATACTCTTCCCCAGCACCACAATTCAAAGGCATGGACTCTTCCTTTCCTTATCCATTGTGCAGCTCTCAGATGCTTAGCAAATGATTGAAAAGATAATGGCATGAATCAGGTGTACCCTTATCATCAGACTGACAAAACTTCTCCTAAAGAATTTGGAGAGGTCCCTGACTGCACATTTTCCTGATGCAATACATCTCCTGATCTTGTCTGTGGATCCAATTAAGATGAAACTGTTGACAGTGTCAGTCTTTTCTCTGTCCATCATGTTACCTATTGGTCTAGTGCTAAGAATTGTAGTTTTCTTGACATTGAGATGCAATCCCTATTAAAGGCTATATACTTAGTTCTTCTCTAGCTAGTGCTTCAAGTCCTCTTCACCTTCAGCTAGCAATGTTGTGCCATCTACACAATGCAAGTTATTGATAAATTTTCCTCAAATCCTGATGCCACATTCTTCTTAGAGTCTAGCTGCATGAATAATTTACTGAGCATAGAGATTGAATAGGCGTGGACAAAGGATACAACCCTCTCACGCGCCTTGCTTCATTTAAAATCATGTAGTGTTCTTTGCTCTGTCCATGTAGCAGCCTCTTGGTATAGGTTCTGGTTTCACATGAGCACAATTAAGTGTTCTGGGATTCCTCTTCGTCTCAATAGTACCCATAATTTCTTATGATCAACACAGTCAAATGTCTTTGCATAATCAATACAGTACATTCTTCTGGTATTTGCTATTGGCCAAGATCCATCTGACATCAGCCATGCTATCCCTGGTGCCATAGCCCCTTTAAATCCAGCTTGAACTTCTTCTGGCAGGTGTAGCCATTTTTGAGTGATGTTCAGCAGTAGTTTGCTTGCATGTAATATTAATGTTACTGTTTGATAATTTGCACATTCTGTTGGACCACCTTTCTTGGGAATGGGATCAAATATGAATCTCTTTCAGTTAGTCAGTCAGGCAGATGTCTTCCAAATTTTCTGGCATAGACTGGTGAGCACATCCAGGGCTGCATCTGTCATTTGAAACATACTAATTGGTATCACGTCAATTCCTAGGCCTTATTTTTTTGCCAATGCCTTCAGCACAGCTTTTTAACCACTTCCTTTTTAACCACTGGCTCTTGTTCCTATGATACTTTCCAAAATATTTTAGTGTCCGTCAGTTCTTTTTGGTACATTGATTCTGTGTATTCCTTCCATCTTCTTTTGATTGCACTGTTGATGGTGTTGTTGTGTGCTGTCAAGTCAGAACTGACTCATAGCTGACCCTCCAGTGTGTTCTCAGAGGCAGTAAATCACCTGGGCGGAAATTACCCATCCTTCTCCTGTGGAGCAGCTGGTGGTAGAAAAAGAAAAAAAAATCAGTGCCTTCTTCACTTGTGGATTTCTACTCATTGATATTTTGCCTGTGCTTTGCGGGGCCGAGCCCGCCATCCGGGCACATGCTTAAACACCTACTTTAGAAGTGACATTCATAGCATTCATTTATCTCTGCAAGATGAGAAATAAGAAGATGCTTTAAGCAATACTTGACAATTTTTATGGACCAATTTGGGAATAGATTAGACTTTATATGTTGTTAGCAGTATGTCACAGTTCCTGAACTCTACTATTTCAACAATGTGAAAGTGCCCACAGATGATATGTAAATGAATGAGTGTGACTGTGTTTCAATAAAGTCTTATTTAAAAAAATACACCAACAAAAACAATGTGTTGGACTGGGCACATAGAACTTGTTTACCAAAACCCATTAAAAAATCTTCTTGGGGAGGTGTGGGGGGGATTGTGTACCAATGAGGGAGTTTTTCTTTTGCTTTTCAAGGAGAGGAGCAAATGGGGGGGGAGGGGTTTGTCCGGGGAGAAGGGTGCAATAATGAATCAATGGAATTCCAAAATCTCTGTAGATGTTCATTGAAATGAAAAATAAACAACCTAAATTAAAAAAAAAATCTTATTGTTGTTTTAACTCCTGTTGTTTGTCCCACAACTCTGGTGACTTCATGCATAACAGAATAAGACACTGCCTGATTCTGTCCCGTTCTCATAATTTCTTCTGGATCAGACCCTATAATCTATAAGTTTCCATTGACCAATTTCTGGAAGTAAAACACCAGGCTTTTCTTCTTAGTCTTTTTGTTGTTGCTAGGTGCCATTGGGTCTACTACATCATCCTCATGACCTCTGTAACAGTCAAGCCCATTGTGATAATCACTGTGTCAGTTCATCTCATTAAGGGTCTTCCTCTTGTTT